GGACGCCGGAACAGCAGGAGAGGGTTTTCGAGTCCTGCATCGGCCGCGGTTGAGCGGCAGACGGGGCTGGGGACGCCGGAGCAGCAGGAGAGGGATCTGGATAAAGGCTGCCCCCTCTCAACGCCGTGGGTCTGTGTTTTGTATTCTGACGAGAGCATGGCCTACAGGACAGAGCAATTTGCTTGATTCCGCTTCGTGTTTTGGTCTTGCGTGTGTCTTCGTTTCGTCTGTTCTTGTCTACGAAGTATATTTTTTCACCGTCATGAGACAGGGCAGTGACGCTTGCTGTTACTGTCAAGCGCTGGGGATGTAGTACTGCACGTCCGCGAATGATGATGTTGTTTCATTTTTCTAGGCTCTGCCGCTGGTTTCGAGAGGGAGGCTCGGAAGGGGTGCGTGCGTGTTCTCTTTTCCTGATAGTGTGCAAGTGTATTGTTGAGTCCCTCGACGCTGCTTGAGGGGGGACGTTGCAAGAGTGGTCGAATGGTCGCGGTAGTATATTTGCGAAAGAAAGGGTCTTTTGTGCCCTCTGCCTCGTGATTTCGTTGTGGTTTGGTTTCTCTTTTTGCCTCTGTCGTCATGGAACAGGCGGGTGCGGTGACTCTAGGTTGTTTTATTTTTGGTGGTGCGGGTATTTGGCGGAGCTGCGTGTGGTAAATCTGTTGTTGTTCCTATTAATGTCGAGGGACAACCGGGGCGCGATGCCTCGGTTGTGCTGTTCATTTCTCGTGCGCGCATATGGAGGAGGGAGATGCGTGCAGCCCGCGGACTAGATCAATCGTAGCGGTGGTGTTGCAGTAATATGCATAGAACGCCGACGTGTCTTTTGTTCCTTGTTTTTTGGCTCTCCCGCTGGGTTCGAGAGGCTCAGTGTGCGTGTTCACGTTTCCTCATACTGTGTATATTTTTGAGTCCCTCGACGCCGCGTCAACCAGGACGTTGCGAGAGTAATCGAGTGGTCGCGGTAGTCTGCGCGTAGAAAAAAGAGACGCGGTCTTGTTGTGCCTTCTGTCCTGTGACGCTTGTGGCGATGTTGTGGTGACGTTGTTGTTTTTGCCGTTGTCATTGGACAGGCGGGTCTGGCGACTGTCTCGGTTGTGTATGAGTTGTTTTGTGTAGACTATGAAATGAAACGAGCGCCTCTTATTGCACCTGCAGTACGTTGTTGGTCGGTGTCTGTTGTTCATGTGGCTTTCGCTTAACAAGGAAATACCCGAGGAACTGTAGGATATCATTCAGGCACTCCATGGCATACTTCAAGTCTCATGCAGGCGTGCCGCCTTCGCGATGTCGGCAGAGCGAACGGGCCTGCCTACCTTGCACGTTCGACGGCCCTGCCCAGTCAATAGTATTCAAAAGCACCTTAGCAACCCCACGTTCGCGAACGGGCCTGTCCATCCCAACGCTCGCAAACGATCTTGCCAACCCCACGTTCGCGAACGAGCTTGCCAACGCCACGTTCGCGAATGACCTTGCCAACCCTACGTACGCGAACGGGCCTGTCGACCCCACTTTCGCGAACGAGCTTGCCGACCCCTCGTTCGTGACCGAGCCTTGCCAACCGCACGTTCGCGAACGACTTTGACAATCCCACATTCGCGAACCATCCTTGCCAATCACACATTCGTGAACGAGCCTGGCAATGCCCCCCTGACGACCAAGCCTGACAAACACATCCAGGGAATGAGTTTGCCAAACCTTTTTTCTGTCAGGGGTTGCCGAGGTTGGTTACTGGACAGAGGTTGGACAACCCAACGCACCCTTCAGGGGCTCGACCTTGCCGATGACTCCTTGCAGGAGCGTTCCCAAGGGGGATCGACCTCCACCTGTGTACTCTGCGTTTCTCCCGGCTGATGCGTCCGGTGCGCCCTCAGAAATAAATACATGCCACGACGAAAAGGTGTCAAATGACGGAACGACAACCTCAGAACCAAGGGGAACAAAAAAAGGTGAAAGAATTGGGTTCCTCGACAACGATCAAATAACACAGAGGTAAAAAATAACGGTAACCTGGTTGCCGAGTTCACCAAGTGAATTGGCTTGTTTTAACACGTCGTTGCCAAGCGACGAAAACCCAATCCCGATGGCAAACACCGGGGGGGGCGACTTGCTTTACAACGTCGTTGCCAAGCGACGAAAACCCAACCCCGATGGCAAACNAGCACGCCGGGTTCTCACCGGACCAGGCTCTCACATCACCAAGCGCAAAGCGACGTGAGGTGTTCGGCGAGTCGCATTAAAGGTGCGCTACATCCTGCTAAGGGTGTTCGGCATCTTGTGCTTACTTCCTTGCGTACGGATGACAGCTGCGTATGAATTAATTTATTTTCTGGTGCTTTCACTTCCAGAGACAGTTGTAAGCACTGTGTAACTGCCTCGAGGGTGCTTGACCACTTTGACACAACGTGGTGCGATCATCCCCCTTACGCGGAGTGAGGGTTCTCGACCNGAATTTTCTGGTGATTTCACTTCCAGAGACAGTTGTAAGCACTGTGTAACTTCCTCGAGGGTG